AACCAACTGAGAGTAAGAAAGTGATGCACACTGGATCATTATTATTGATAATATACATCTCTGACTTTTATCTTTCATCAAATTGGGCACTGAACTGCATCACCTTCAGGATTCTTGAGTCACACTGTCTCATTGTCCCAGCCTGCTACCCCATGATGGAACAGCATGAAGCAGTGTTAACAGCTCAGGGGCACTCCTGCCTGACTCATTAGGAGATGTCACACCTAGGATGTGAGACATTACAATGGCTGCCACTGTGACACATACTCCATCCCACAAAGTCTGGAACGGGACATTCCTGAACAGATTTGGGCATGAGAAGAGAGGACAAATTATACACAGATGGCCCAGGGCTTAGGAAAGGCAAGAGATTGTTTTAGTTTTTATGTTCTTGTTTTGAAAGGCTCTGGAGGTACAGCTAAGTGTCCACTTCTCTGACGTTATTACTCCCTGGGAAGCATACATTTCCACCTGCCTTTGGATTCCTTCACACCAGTGCTTCATGCATTTAGCTTACTTATTCTAGCAGGGGCTGGGTAGGGGGGCCCCTTGCACACTTACCCACTTAGTCATCCAGCTGATGAGAGGGGAGGGAGTCTGAGGACAACACCTTCTCGCAGATGGCTAGCTTTGCAGGATTTAGTGCGAGTTCTTCCCCACGAATAAGTATTTCCTCACTTTGAGCTAGTGGTACCACGGTGGCAAAGAATTTGTCTAACTTGAGCTTTTTCTACCTTTGTTAGACTTTAACAACTTGGGGAAATTGAGTCATAGCAAAATAGTTTATTTAAACTGACTTTTTTCTTTTAAACACATCTATTTATTTAAATGTTACACAAATGTAACATTACCAGATTGGTTGATCTGCCCTTTTGTGTGTTCAACAACCAATGCTTAGAGGCCTAACCAATGATGTTAAGAGAGTCAACAGTGACAGCCAACAGTTTGGCCTTTGCCCTCCAAGGGAAAAATTCAACCCAGAGGAAGATGGCACCTTTCTAGTAAATCATCTGTCCCTTTAGTGGAGAGGTCACAGTCTACTGTGGGAGGACTCTAGTCATTGTTCATCTTAGAAGAAGGCATGATTACTTAGTTTGATGACAAATTTATAAACATTTTGTTGAATTTATTTAGTGGGTAATGCTCTTTCTGTGCATTCTTTGATTTTCTTTCTTTTTTATATCCTCAAAGAAAGGCTAAAATTGACTACGAATTTATTCTTATAACTTACACCAAAGTTGCTGTAGACTTTGGCAAAATACTCACTTGCTTTTCCCATTGTTAGCTAGGTGATAGTGGAATTTGTGTAAGAGGAGAAGATGTCTAATAACTTCATTTATTATCAGGAGAAATAGAAGTTGCTCATTTTTATTCAATTTACTAAGGCTTCTTCATAAGACTTGGAAGGCTTAATTTAATGTTTGATGATTTCTGATTGTTTGCTAATGAAAGCAAGCACTTCAGACTTCCGACCAAAGAGTGTTAATCAACAATGCAGCCCTCCTGTGAGGCAATGCCTAACATCATCAAAGAACTGTTAATTGGTCTGGGTAAGGCCTGGAACTGTGTATTTATAGGTTTTGTTTTGATTTTAACAATTCTTTAAAAATCTTGAAAAGACACCCACCAACGCCCGGCTAAGACAGCATGCATCTTAACCCCACTTCTGGCTGGAAGAACTTGGTTGATTGCAAGAACAGCAAGTTGGTTCAATGTTAATTCCTTAGTAAACTGAAGACCCTTTTACACTACAAATAGACTTTATATACGAACATAGACTTTGTGACATTGAAATTGTGCCTCCAAACTGGGACCATGGAAACTGAAGATTAATTTTTTGAAAAGCTGTCTACTGGTTATTTATCTCTTCTATATCACCATCCTTGTCCAAGAGAGTTTGCAGTTTGTCAGTTTCCAGCCTGATGACCTGGTGCTGATAAAAACCTGGAGAAAGGACAAGCTCCCATCCATTGAGGTGAGGGTCTTGATAAACACTGCTGACCTCACAGCTGTATAGACTGCTGAAAGGAGTGAACTCGCCGCTCCTGAGTGAAGGAGCCAATCAAGGGGGCGCCAACACCCAAAGAGGGAGATCACAGAGAAGTAGATGGGTCATCCAACGAGTCTTCAGTTTTTTCTAAAGAGGACCTGATGATATCTACACAAGGGACACTTTGTTTTTGCTTTTACTAAATATGCTGCTTACGATGCTCATGTTATCGTGGGAGGAGAACCTCTTAATGGAAAGAATATTTCTAGTCTGCATCCAACCTTAAAATTCCCCATTTTGTGATTGGGGTCCCTGGTTAGTTCCACTTCTGGAATCTAAGCTATGTAGGGAAGACTATTATCATACAGAGAATAGGTTTCAGATAGGTTTAAAGCTTGACATAAAGAATTGACTACTTGAGTAAAATGGGTCAAATATACAGCACAGGCACACTCAGCAAGAGTGATTGTTATACTTGCACAGCAGGGCATTCCCAGGCTCACACAGTATCCTTTTCCCTAGAATGCGGCAGAGACCCCACTGGAGTAATTGCATGCTAGCCTAATTTCAGGACTAAGCTATTTGTAGAATAAGACTCTCCAGAGTCTCTCTCTTGTATTTCTTTTCAGTGTGGAAAGATTGGCCCCTCAAAATTCCTTCTTTCTCCATAGGAAATTACTCCTCATGTATCACATGGCAGGGGAATGGATTCCCTTGCCCAGTGGGGGATCTTGGAACCTATACCTATGCCCTGAATGTCTCAAACAACAAAAGGACAGATGACAATTACTCTGCACTCAGTGTCTCCCAAGCTGAGCTGACTTATGGTGGTATTGTGGACAGGGGGAGCTACTTAAGCCTCCCATCCAACCGGTATGGGATCTGTGTGCTGGTTCAATTGGCCACACCTTTCTCCCTGGCCTTCATTCTTCTCTCTTAGTGAAACTAGTCTTGGGGCTAAGAGTCCAGTACCCTGATATTTTGGAGTCTATGTTGACTCTATAGGAATCCTCAGGAGAGTTCTAAACAAATGTAAGACTAAATACCAAATAGCAGGACTCAAATTGGCTATCAGCAACAGTAAACAAAAATGCTGAGATTAACTCTAAGTGTTTTAACTCACCAGATTTATCAGTCGTGTCAGGGATGCAACCTATGGGTTGCAATACCCTTGGGGCATCAGATGACCTTTTCACAGCGGTCACATATCAGATATTTATACTGTGATTCATATCAGTAGTAAAATTACAGTTATGCAACAAAAATAATTTTAATAGTTGGGGGTCACAGCAACATGGGAAATTGTACTAAAGGGTCCCAGCATTAGGAAGGTTGAGAACCACTGCCTTAAAGAAATGCCTAGCCAGCTGGATCCCTCAGCTGCATAATTTGGGACAAGACTGCACTTACCCGTGAAACTAATAGAGCAAACGTGTTTGTGTCATGCTTGATGAAAGATGTTGTGCTTTTATTCCTAAGAACACAGCTCCTGAACCAACAATCTACTAGGGCCTTTCAAGGATTAGCCGGCCACACTTGCCAATACATTTTAGAAAAATTAACTAATTAAAACAAAAGTGAAACTAGAACCTGTAAGAATAATAGAAAAAGGAAGAAACTGTGGGAAACAAATTGTTATGGTCCACTTTCAGCATGAAGTACACTTAAGTTCATCAGAGTTACACACACAGGAAAAGTGCCAGGCCCTTCTCTCCCCTGGAGGGTGAGGGGTGCTGGCTTCTGTCAGAGCTCTGAGATCTGGAAGTTACAGCTAGTCTCCATGTGACTGAGGCCACAATCAGGCAGGGGGCAGTCTCAAGCCTCAGAGTATTCTTTACATAATACTTCATGTCTTAAGCCAATAGGATGGGGAATTTGGGAAGGTGGCAAGTCCTAGCCTATGGAAGGAGAGGACGGAACTCTCTAGTGATGGGGGACTTTGAAAACACCTGACTTGTGCCGAGTCTGTGTGCCAGCCGTTTTCCCCCCTTTTCTCTGTGCTATGTCCCTTTCTGTAGGACAGTATATTAAAAACTCTTCATTCTGGCCAGCCTCTGGAATTGTTATTTTATTTCCAACAGTGATGATGACTCTCCAGTTAATTGTTCAGTTCTAGGCTTAGTCCATTTCTTCTGGCTATTAAGGGTGAGGCTGTTTTGGCAAGGCTGACTAAATCCAGAGAATAATTGCTACCCTGATTGGCTGCCCATTGTTTTTCTTTCTAAGAGGGACCTCTAACACGTTGAGGATCAACAAAGTTCAAGGCTTCAAATAATGGTCATCATTCAAGGGTGACAGGGCAGAGGAAAGCAAAAGCTGTGTGACCCCCGATTCCCATTCACCTCCACACACCTGTTAGGCCATCCCACAGATGCCCCACCTGTCCCTGTCACTCCTTCACTGTGCTCTCTCTTCATTTGTTTATGCTGCTTCCTGAGCACAAAGACTTGCATCAGAAATTGGCTTTGACTCCTACAACAATCTGGCCATGTGGTCGGGGCTTATGGGCACCTGGCTGCAATGTGACTGATGCTCCAGCACATGCCTGCTGTGCAATTAGAGGAGAGCTGATTCTTTTTGCCTGGGGTGACTCTTGGGTGTCCCTAAGATTAGTGGACAAGTCACAGGTGGAACATGGGTGGGGGGGAGCCAGTGTGCCCGGCAAGGGACATGGCGTGCAAAGGTAACTCTTCTCTTTGTCTCCCTGTGTCACCCACTGTGAGTGACGGAGTGGGTGGCAATGGGTCAGAGATTGCTAGGCAGGAGGCCAAGGCAGCAGAGCTAGTGTACTGGCACACTCAAGAGCCTATTTCCTATTTCCCAGGGCCGAGCAGGCCACAGACCCGCACCCCTCCCTTTCCTTTTCTCCTGGATCCTCAGCATGCTGCCTTTGTGCTGTCGATAGTTCAGCTCTGACCCCAACTCTACCTCCATCTAGCCTATCCCCCCCCTCCTCAGCATTCCAAGCTCTGTTCCAGTTCTTCAGCTTCAAATCCCAGTTTTCTCCTACCTGATTATTGCAACACTCTCCTCAGCAGTCATCAGGGCTCAGTCCCTTTACTCCTCATGCACTGTGTGCTTCCAGGAATCTCTCCAAAAGTGGCTTCTTGCCTCATGCATCTACGCTGGTCTTTCTAAGCATATTTCCTCAGATTCCACTTTCTGCTGTGTACAAACAGGCCCACATTGAGATTCATGACCTAGTTGTCTTTCCCTCCTGCCTCGGTTCACTCATGCAGGACCTAATATCCTCTAAAGTGTTCCTTCCAGAGATTCCTCTGAAAATGCGCTGTACCCACCAGCACCGATCCGTGCACACTTGCCGGTGGTCTTCAATGAGACCAGCAACTGTGTAAAGGAAAAGCTGAACTTCCACAGCAACATGGCAATGTGTACACTTTAAGCTGATGTGATTTGAAAACAAATTATACACAAACACAACAACAAAAACACCACAGCCTTCACGAGTGGCTTGAGAAACAGTACCCTAGTTTGTCTCAAAGTCAACCAAGCTCGGCCTCTCTATGCACACTCCTCTCAGCTCTCTGTTACCCTGTTGGCTCCTTGGAGCTGTTTTATTATTTTGTATTGGGAACTCAATCCCTACTGCCGCTTCCTCCTGGAACATGTGTAGAGCATCTGGCTTTAAAAATATGCCTGCTGTTGAGAACATCTGCTCTCTGGTTCAAAAACTGGATTCAAATTTTAAAACACGATTTACTTTTCCCCTCTAAAACATTTTTTTCTTGTTTAGAACAGTAATTTTTCTCTAAAGAGTTTGAAAATCAACTATTGAAGTATAAATTATAAATAATAAAGTACACTGGTGTGTGTGTGTGTGTGAGAGAGAGAGAGAGAGAGACTTGCGTGAGCAGGTGTACATGTGTACATGTACAGGTAGGCATGTCTGTGCATTTGCATTTGGAGGTCAAAGGTCACTTGCATCTTGAGCATCTTCATCAATTGTGCTTTGCCTCACAATTTTTTTTCAGACAGGGTCACTTAATTTGGAGCTACAGGTTTTGCTAGACAAGCTGCCCAGCAAGACCCCAGGTGCTGGGATTAAAGGCATGTGCTGTGACAAGCAGCATTTTCTATGTGAGTTCTGGGGATCCAAAGCCAGGTCCTCACTAGTACACGGTGAGTACTGACTGAGTCATCTCCCCAGCCCAAGCATCCTCTTCTTTGATTGTACAGTTTGATGGACTGTGACCTAATAGGCACGCAGAGGATGACCATCCCAGTTAGAGATGGAGTAACGCCTGCCCCCCCACATTCGCCTGAGCACTTGGTAGTCAGTCCCTCTTCCGATGCAGCTGAAGGCCACAACCGATGTTGGCTCTGCTCCTGCAGGTTGGTCTGGTTGCTTTTAGAACACTTTGTGGATTAGGCCATCGTGGATGCTCTGCTGGCCGCTGACTGATTTCCCTGGTGTGGTTTTCAGAGTCCCCGTGATTTGAATGTTTTCGTGGTTCAGTCCTTCCAGTTGCTGAGAGGCATTTCACTGCATACAGCACATTTTGTTTACTCGTTCTCTTGTTGATAGACATCTGTCTCGGCTGGCTCCAGCTTTTGGCTGCTTGAATCAAGTTTTCTGAACATTCATGTTCAAATCTTTGTTTTGACAACTGTTTTCGTTTCCCTTGGGTAAATGCCTCGTAGTAGAATTGCCGGGTCAGCTGGTGAGGATTATGATTAACCTTCATTAGGAGCCAGCATTAATCCCCAGGTCATATTGCTTTGACAGAATCACATGATCTCTGATTGGCCCCTAGGTTTGCTGATCCTTGCTGAACTGCCATTGCCATGGAGCCGTTCTTATCTGAAATGACCTCATTCCTTTATCCCAGACGTGCTATACTGAATCACACAGGGAATTCTCTACTTGCTTCTGCATCTGGGATCCTTTGGAAGAGTCAAAACCTCTCAGTTTGCTTACTGCTGCAAACACTGCTTAGCTCAATGTTCCTGTCAGAGGTCTGACACAGATCGCTTACATATTAAGAAATGACCAAATACCCTTTTCTCTGCTTCTAGAACCACTCATGATGCAAGGCCAACCCGCATTCTCCAACTTACTCCAGGAAATGTGTTTTCACCTTTGCTCCCAGTGACACCATGTTGACTTCTCATCATTTCAATTGGAATTTCCTTGGAAAGGCCTTTTTTCTTTTTATTTTCCTCTTTTTTTGGCCATGAACAAGCATATGTCCTTGTTACTTTAGCAGAAAACATTTCTTCTTAGTTTGATACTGCAAACACTTGCTTTTCTTTCTCTTATCACTAGAAAACAAACTACAAAAGTGAGGAGGTTGGTCTGTCTGTCTGTCTGTCTGTCGTTTGTCTTGTCAGCACATAGAAGGGACCCACATGGTATCTGCTTGTAATAGGTGGCCAAGGAGCTCACGGATAATAAATGATGATTACCGAAGCCCTTTATCTGCGTAACTTACCTGGAAGTTAGTGGCCCTTTCCCATGATTGTCAGATAAGTTTTGTCCACAAACTTTAGCATCTAGTTGTCTTACCCCACCCTTTAAATCCCCTTCTCGAGATGAGCAAAGTGCTGAGAATGAGCGACTCTGAGTGCTCACCCCCATCCGCACCTCCACTCCAAGGTCCAGGGAACATTGAGGAAGAGCAGGCAGAAAGAATGCCAGAGCTGGAGTATGGGAAGGAGTGATGTGAAATGCTGTGTCCTGGACATGACATGGCTGTTGCACGCATGAACTCACAGTGACCGTGGTTACCTGCTGCACAAAGCCTGAGCAAGGTCAAGTCAGTTAAAAACCCAGCATGGATAGGCTACGATTTCCTGACTCCCTTCCCTTGCTGAGAAGCTATTGGCAGTTGATTTCTGAAGGACGGAGAGTCACTTTTATTTGGGCATATGGTCACTGGTAGGCTGCCCACACCTCAGTGGATAGTCCCACACCCATGTCATATGGGCAGCTCTAATCGGACTCATGGGTCATAAGAAAGTTGTGAGGGAAATGTGTTGGGAATGGGGGAGAAGTTGAAGGAGGGAGTGAGGTACTTGTGGCCAGGATACATCGTATAGATGTATGGAAATTTCTAAGGATAAATGATATTACTTAAAAGGTAAAACTGGGACCAGTCTCCCATGCACACCTTTTCACACCAATGCTCTGGGAACTTGTAGAATCTTGCTTACTTGTTGGGCGTATTTATTCCAGTAAGCATTAAAAGAAAATTTCACTTTGTGATTAAAAAGTTTGTCTAGGGACTGAAGCAATATCTCAGTGGATAGAGTGCTCACTGTGCAAGCTCACTGGATGCATCAATGCAGATACTCATGATTTTATACTTTTAATTATTATTATTAATCATTATTTTATGTTTATGGGTGTTTCGCCTGCATGTGTGTCTGTGCATCTTGTACATGCCAATGCCAGTGGAAGGAGTCAGATCCCCTGGGGCTGGAGTTATGTGGATGTTTGCGAGTTACCATGTGGGTGCTGGGAACCAAACCCAAGTCCTCTGCAAGAGCAACAAGTGCTCTTAACCGGGGAGCCATCTCTCTGACCACAGCACACACCTCTAATTCCAGCAGAGCCATTTCAAGATGGGAAGCAAAGACAGGAGAATCCCCAAAGGTTTGTGGGTCAGCCAGCAGCCAGGACTGACACCTGACCTTTACATGTGTGTATGGTACACACAGCGCTGTACTCACACACATACATTTTATACACACATCGTACATACATTAAAAACACGGTTTGTCTAGAGCTTGATTACGTTGTTTTCAGCCACAAAATTTAAGGTTTTTAGTATTCTGACAGATCATAAATTTTCAAGAGTGTGAGTGAAACAGTTACCATTGTCCAAACTTAAGATTCATTTTGATAACATACAAGCTCTATGGTCCACACTCTTTCATCAAAGTCTTTCCTTGTTTTCTCATTTATCTCTTTGCTTCCTCTGGCTTTTTCTCAGTCATCCTCTTTCTTTAAAACTTTTTCTTTGTAAGTTCTGATATTGTGAAACTCTCATGTGCATGATGAAGTGTGTAGGTGTCATTGTTTCAGACTCACTTGTCATTAAACTGCATCTAAGGCTTGTAAATCTTGGAATCCAGCATGCCCAACTTCGCAGAAGTATATGTACCTGTGGGTCTTATTTCTCACTCATAGGTTTAGACAGTAGGAAAACAAATGGTGATTTTGTTAGCATGTAGGTTGCGGGTATGCCATTCAGATCTCATACCGTCTGTGGGGTACCTCTCTGGCTGGGGAGATGAAATTGCTCATCACTTGGGAAAGGAAGGCAATATATTATACTTCCTCTCTCCATACAGAGCAACAGGGGCTCAGATCGCTATGCAAATCTTCCTCAGTATTGGCTTCCTTACCTCCTGATAAAATGGGGGCCTGGCCTACTGAGACACGATCCCTGGACCTACCTGAGGAGAAATGCTTCCTGGCTTACTGTGAGCATGTGGTGTGCCAATACTAGCAGTGGCAGATAAAAAGCCAACAAAACAGAATGGAAACAACAAAATCTCAACTTAGATGTTTCTGGAAAATCAGAGCCAGTTTAATTCAGGGATACCATGGTACAAATGACAAAACAGTTGCCTGGTTAAATCTGCACGGTTGAGGCTTGGATTGAGAGGGTCCAGCATCTGGCTTCCCATCCTGAAGCTGATGCCCTTTAATTTCATCAGTCTGTCTCACTAAAGGCTATTTTTAGTACATTGTACTTATTAAATATAGTTTTATGTTCTCTGACCCGTCCTAAAAGCTTGTGAGCCAAATGTTTTATATCCCTCTGAGAAGCATAAATTAAATAGCTCATTTTATGTGTTCTCTAATTGATCTTGCAGCTTTGTTTGGAGACTCAACTCATGCAGAGGTGAAGGAACACAGTAAAATAACCACTGCATAAGGGGTCAGTGGTAGTATTTTCATTATAGGAACGCCTCTGGGTGACCAAGGACACCCCATGTTCTAGAGTGGTTTCTATTGCTGTCATAAGCACCATGACCAAAGCCACTTGGGGGAGGAAATAGTTGCTTTTTATCTTTCAATTTACAGTTTATTACAGTTACGAAGGAAGTCGAAGCAGGAAGCCCGGGGCTGGAACTTGGAGGCAGGAACTGAAGAGTGGCCATGTTGGAGCTTAACTTAGTGGCTCACTCCCCAAAGCTTGATCAACTTACTCTTCTTTTTATGCAACAAGGCCCACTTGCCCAAGGCTGGCACTGCTGACAGTGGGCTGAGCCCTCCCACA